AGGGACCCCGACCCCAAAAAAAAAAAAAAAAAAACTCCATCAGGCATTAAATTGATAAACATATCTCACAAATGAGCAGAAAGATTGACTGTTTCAACTTGGGAGACAGAGTAAATCTATTACTGATCTATCCTCTGGTTGCATTTAGTTCTAAAAAGTATTTCTTCATTTTCTTATGAAGCATTATGTATGTAATATTGCATTTATAGTCATGTAAGACTTTTAAACATATGTGGCAACAAATCATGTATTTTTTCCAGAAGTAAAGAAATTGTTAAAGAATTGTATTAGAAAGCAACAAAGTTTAAACCACTTATATCATAGTTCAGTTTTCTTAAAACAAATCCTAATCTCTCAACTTCAAACTTTAAAAATGGGACATTTTGAGCCTAAAGGTTCAAACAATTCAACATATTAAATAAATATACTGCTATAACATGTCTTTCAAGTAAGTTACTCAAAATGGTCTTATTAGAATTATTAGCATCATGAAGAAATATCTGTATCTCTCTTTCATTTTAAAAACACACATGAGCATCTTTTTTCCTCAGAGCCAGATTTATACCTACCTGCTGCCCAACTCCTCACATGGTGTATCAAAAAGGCATAAATGTACTCAAAAACTACAATTTGATAGTATTAAAAATTATCAGTATTTCCTCCAACAATAAACCAAAACCAAATGGCATATTTTTAACCACCAAGTGTTCTCTGTAAATATAACAATGTAAATTATCATTACAGGCCACATCTTTTACTTGAATAGCAACGTACCACCTTCCTTTTCACACAACTGTGTTCCACCAGCACTGATCCCAAAGTGTCTTTTCCCATATCCTGAGTTTTCAGTAATAAATAGGACAGAAAACTGTCAAGCATTGCTCCCTCACAGACATTCTATATGTACACAAAGCACTGATTCACATTTTGTACATCAGTGGCTTTATCCAGCTGAAAGTTAAAATATCTGTCAGTGTGCACATGTGATAGTAATTGTTTTTCCAGATTGTATCCTATTGATATTGTAAAAAAAAAAAAAAGTTTTTTTCCAGAACTACCACAATAAGGGAAAAGAGATCTCAGTACAGAACTGGGCTCAGTTACCAATACAGCAAGGACAAGTGGGGATTTATAACCAAGGAGCAGAGTGGGGATCAGTGGAAGGAAAATTACTAAAAGAAAACTTTGCGGGTGAGGGAAGATTTTGGTTAAACACACAATTCTTGCTGAAGGCAAGCCAGGGTGGTCAGATATCACCTAGGGTATGAGGGGGGGATGCAGAATTTTATTAGATATGGAGAGTGACCAGATAGCAAGGATGAGAAATTCTCTCTAAATTGATTTAGCAGGATTCTTGCTAAAATTGGACAATGCAGGTCTGGCAAGGATGGCGCTTAGTTGAAAAAAGGGTTTGGTGGAACCTGACTAAAGTTTAGTTAAAGGAGAGAGTCTTTGTCAGTCCCTGCTCTTATTTGAGGAAAGAGAGACCTCCTTCCTTTGAACAATGTAAGTCCATTTCTCATTAGGTTGCCTTTTGTCCTTTAAGGACCAGCTGAACCATTGGTTGAGACTTGGTAGTAGAGGATTTCTGGTGCAAGCAGTCAGGCATTTAATGAGGGAAATTCCCATGAAAAGAAAAAGAAAAACAAAGATCAATGGTTGGAGCACACTATAAAACTAGTTTCTGAGTCCAGAGGGCAGACAGTTGAGAAGATATCTAGATGTTGGGCTTGAAGCATCATTTGCAGTTTCAGTGTCCTTGGTGATGGCATCAGGTATTCCAGCAAACTTTCTGAATGGCCCACACAATAGCAAGCATGAAAGTTGTACATACATGATCTGTTGTGGTGATTTCTTTGAAGTTTATATCAGGTCATCCAGCTTCAGCTTGCAGGGCTTCAAGAAAGGGGCAGTTTTAGTTCTCAATGAGGCCAAGTAAGGAGGAGGGGAGAAAAATTGGAAACATTTTGGAGAGTTGTAGCCAGATACTGGAGGAAACTAGAAAACTGACAATATGTGCAAGACAATGAGCAAGACTGGAATTTAATAACCCAAAAGGGTGCACTACAGTTTTCCACTGAAACCTAAAATGTCTCTCTACAGTCACCCCCCCACCCCATTTTTTTCTTGTTTACAAAATAAGTCTGGTCTCATTAGATTTGGTCTGATTATTTATATAAATGCAGCAAGAACAGTCACTGACCACTTAGGCCTTTCAAATTTGCTTTGCTGGAACTTTTCATAAAGAATCTCAAATTAGACTTTTCAAAGCCTCTCAAGGCTAGGAAGCAAATCCAAGAACTCACCACCAGATTTAGCCTGTAATATCTACACATTTGGGTAAATTCCTCTCTTCTCAAGGTTCCAAGAATATCCTAAGGTTCCTGGGCTTGATAGGACGTGACCTTCCTTACTCATCTGTAAGGCTGGGAACTCTATAAACCAGGTACCAGACTGGTTTCTCCAAAAGGGCTTTGTAAGCATTGGCTCTATAATGCCAATCTTAGTTCCTTAAAACTATCTGATAACATGAGATTCTTTATCTTTGAGATTATCATTCACAAATATGACATTCCAACCAAAGTCTATACAACCAATTTTTCCAATTATGTACTGTTACAAGGAAGACAGATTCTTATTGAACCTACACAAATAAAGTCACTGCCATGAAAATAAGAATACTCAATAAAGTTTCTGAATTCTGGAGAGATCAGGTAGAGAGAAAAGCTAAATGTTTCATTTCTGTTTACAAAAGTATAATTAACTAAATTGTCATGAGTTACAGAGAGCTTGAGAAAAGATAAAAAGGGGTTCCTTAAATAAAACATTAAAGAACCAGTATTGTTCCTTATCAATAACCACAAAAATCATAAT